AATTATTTCTCTGAACTTAAGGAGAATAAATCTTCTTTTATCAATAGTTTGCTATTAAGGCAAGCATGTTTTTTTCCTTGTCAGGGTTATGAGGTTTCTATGGGGGTTTGTTTCACCCTGTGCCAGCTTCACTGTGAATCAGGCTCAGATTATTGGAGCCAAGGGTCTGGTTAGTTATGCCTGCCAACAGCCCAGAATCGTCTCCAGTGTAACAAAGAGGAGCACAATATCAATCCAGCTTCATGAGTTCTCAGGCTGGGAGTGGGATTCCCAGGGTTTATGAATTTGTTAACCAGTGATGTAGCACATATTGTCAATTAACAGGAAACTAGAAGGTACTAGAAACGTTCGATTTTACTACACTGACAACTTAAACTGGAGGGTTGTACCCTCTTAATCTAACAAGTTAGGAATGTGTTTTGTAATTCTTACTAATTAATGAAAATTAAGAATGAGTATTAGGTCTAAAACAAGATTGGAAAAAGGAAGTTATTAGATTAATTGTCAGTAACTGACAAGTAGCACTCCAGAACAGCCAGTTTTTCTCACTGAATTCCTTCCAGTGGAATTCAGATCTGGCAGATGTAGTTCCACTGCAAACAATCAGCAAATGTAAGCCAGTAATACTATAAAAATATAAAGACAAAATTAACGACTTTGCACAGGTGTGTAAACTATGCATTGCATCTAAGGGAGAACCAATCATATCATAGACGTTAAAGATTTCTGTATTTACTATGGCAATTTTCCATTAGAGGGTAGTAAAGTGTTTTGCTGTAATAAATTGTATATTTAGGAACAATTTTTTGACCAGTAAAAGGGTCTTGAAGAAGGAATGCCTTGTTGTAATTTTCAAAAAGACACCATATGGGCTAGTGGTGGCCCTAAGTCATCCATCCTAGATGTTTTTAAAAATGAGGGTGCTCTGAAATTGTTTCAAGTATTTTGACTGTCTCCAAATGACGATCAAATTTCAGTGTTAAGTCTTATCACCTGAGGCAAGTCATTTAACTTTATGAGGCATATTTTCTCTTCTGTAAAATCAGAGGCTTGGCCAAATGATTGTTGTAGTCTTTTTCATCTCTTCAACCACTTTATGTAGCAGATAAATCTATGGCTTGTTTAAGCAGCATGGATCTTTGAGGAGTCTTCCAAAGGTATCCAAGAAATTGAAAAAATATATATATCAAAGTTAAAATCTTATTAACTAAACAGAAACTTCAGGTAAAAACTGTATCGTAAAAGAGAGAAGAACAACCCACTTGTGTTTTTTGACATCTACTAAGTGGCAAGCATTTCTCTCTCATTATCTCATTAATTTTTATAATCATCGTGGCAGTTACTGTTATCCTTGTTTCATAAAGAAGAGAACAGCTAGTATGTTGTAGAGCCATTCACATTGTGTGGTATGATCTGTGTCTCGTTAATCTAGAACAAGGAAAAATTGATAATACAAATATCGGTATTATCTGAAAAAGAACAAAAGAGGCAGAAAGATCTGAAAGATGTGAGTATTAAGTCTACCAGAATGGTTAGACCAAGGGTCCACAAACTGGCTCGAGGGTCACGTCTGCCTATCACTTGTTCTTGCAAATAAGGTTTTATTGAAACACAGCTATGCCTATTCATTTATGTATGGTTTATGGCTGCTTTCACAATATATAGGCAGAAATAAACAGTTGTGATATTTTTGGTCAGCAAAGCCTAAAATGTTTATATCTGACTTTCACAGAAAAAAATTGTGGACTCCTAGTAAAGCTGTATGTTGATATGTTTATAACCATAACCTGCTCATTAATTCCCAAATCCTATCACCACCACTTTTATTATTAAAGGTACTGCAGGAAAATTTGTTATTGAGGGATAATGTAGTGTTTAATTACATATAGCTGTGTTCACGCTTACTGACATTGCCTTTTCTATTACCACATTCAACACTAACCTTAGATCAGCTCTTCAATCAGATCCCCTTTAATTCTCATTGTCATCATGAAGCACAAACCAGTTACCTATACTGAGAGCTCAACTGGATCCCAGTTCTTACACAGAGTGCTAGTTTTTCAGTTCTCAATTCATCTGGGCACCATTTTAGATAGAGAGTGAAATCAACATGACACCAGTTGTATTTCCTAATCAATTGAGTCGAACTGAATGTCATGGTAAGAAAAAAAATTCCACAACAAAATGTCTTTACTTATTAATAGATTATTGATCTCCATATATTATCTGTGACAGGTGGGACCAGGCCTTAATCAATTTTGATTGTTTTCAAACAGCAGGAGATGTTTTCTCAACTGTCACATACCTCACACGTAGTACCTGCTTCTTTCAAGGGCAGAATTAGTTTCACGTGCCAGGATATGAGCACAATTTGTGAAGTTTAAACAGGTGCTTACTTTGTATCTCTAAAGGCAAGAGATTTTTTCCCCAAGAAGCAAATAAACAAATTGTATTTGTAATTTAATTTTTTATAACAACTTGAGATAAAATCCACATACCACACAGTTCAAACATTTAAAGTATACAATTCAGTGGTTTTTAGTATATTCAGAGTTGTGCCACCATTACCACAATCAACTCTACAACGTTTACATCACCCCAAAAAAGAAACCCTATACTAATTAGCAGTCACTCCATTTTCCTCCCCAACCCCTCAGTCTAAGCAACCACTAATCTACCTTCTCTTTATATGTATTTGCCTGTTCTGGACATTTCATATAAATGAAATCATATAATATGTGGCCTTTCATGTCTGGCATTCTTCACTTGGCATGTTTTCAAGGTTTTTCCATGTTGTGGTGCATATCAGTACTTCATCTCTTTTTTATTGCTGAATAATATTCCTTGTATGGATATGCCATGTTTTGTTTATTCACTTGTTAGTTGATGGAAATTACGGCTGTTTCAATTTGGGGCTATTATAAATAGTGCTGCAAAGAACATCTGTGCACAAGTTTTTGTGTAGACACTTGTTTTTATATCTCGTGGGTATCCACCAACAGTGGATGAGGGTTCCAGTTTCTCTGCATCCTCACCAACACTTGATATGATCACTTTGATGATATATCTATTCCAGTGAGTGTAAAGTGATATCTCATTGTAGATCTCATTTGCATTTCTCTGATGGCTAATGATGTTGAGAATCTCTTCATGTGCTTATTGGCCTTTTGCATATCTTCTTTGGAGAACTGTTAATTCAGATTTCTTGTTGATTTTTAAAAACTGAATTATATGCCCTTTAATTATTGTTATAACAATTCTTTATATATTCTAAATACAAATTCCTCCCTTAACTAATACATGATTTAAAAAAAAATTCTCTCATTCTGTGGGTTATATTTTTGCCTTCTTGATATTGTCCTTGGAAACACAAATGTTTTTAATTTTAATTTACCTATTTTCTTCTTTTGTTGCTTGTGTTTTTAGTGTCATTTATTTAAGAAATCATTGCCTAATTCAAAGTCAGAAAAATTTGCACCATGTTTTCTTTGAAGATACTTATAGTATTAGCTCTTATGTTTAGATCTTAAGTCCACTTTCAGTTAATTTTTATATACAATATGAGGTAGGAGTCCAATTTCATTATTTTGCATGTGGATATCCATGTTTCCAAGCACCATTTAATGAAAAAGACTATTTTGCCCCCATTGAATTGTCTTAGCACCATTTTCAAAAGTCAGTTGACCATAAATGTGGTCAATATTTCTGGACCCTCAATTATATTAGTATTTGATTCTGTCTGATGCTGTCAATTTTGGTTTTTTGTTTTTTTTTTTTTTTTTTTTTTTTTGAGTCAGGGTCTAACTCTGTCATCCAGGCTGGATTGCAGTGACCCAGTTATAGCTCATTGCAGCATCGAACTTTGGGGCTCAAGCCATCCTTGCCTCTGAATAGTTGAGACCACAGATGCATGTCATCACATCCAGCTGATTTTTGTTTGTTTGCTTGTTGTTGTTGTTGTTGTTGTTTGTAGAGATGGGATCTCACTGTTTCCCAGGGTGCTCTCCTGGCCTCTAGCAATCTTTCTGCCTCAGACTCCCAAAGTGTTGGGATTACAATCATGAGCCACCAAGTTTGACCAATGTTGAAAATTAAACTGTTTTCTTAATATCATTTTTTATTTATTCATTGACACTATATCAAAAGATAACCAGTTTCTGTATATTTGATCCTGTACCTGTAACTTTGCTGAATTTATTTATTAGTTCTAATGTTTTGTTTTTGTAGATCATGTCGTCTCCCATCTCTATTTAGTTACACTTCTTCCTTTCCAATCTAGATGCCTTTTATTTTATTTTCTTGCCTAATTGCCCTTTCTTGACTGTCCAGTACAAGTTGAATAGAAATGGCCAAAGCAGACATCCTTGTCTTGTTTCTGATCTTGGGGGAGATAATCCAGTCTTTCACCCTTAAGTATGATGCTAACCATGGGTTTTTCATAGATGCCTTTTATCAGTTTGAGGAAGTTTCCTTCTGTTCCTAGTTTATTGAGGATTTTTTATTTTACATCTTTTACTGTGAAAGGGTGTTGAATTATGTTAAATACTTTTCCTGTGCCTAATGAAGTGATCTTGTAAATTGTAATTTGATCTTATCTATTCTCATTTCCAAACACTCAAGAGAAAACTGTAAGGAACTACATTTACAAAATAAACCATAACTTTACAAAAAGGGCATAAAATAGCATTTTGGCAAAAACTTACAGATAGGTAATCTAAAGGTATCTAACTGTATCAATTTTAAAAATACAAAAATATAACTTTATGAGGAAATTTTTTCTGACTAAAAAAGTAAAACTTCATCTGCTGGTTATAGGAAAATATGTTCTTGTAAGAAAACAGTGGCATAATAAATTAACAAATAGCATGATCATCACTTTCACATACATATTTATAAAATACAGGATAGAATTATTAAAATTCTCTGTTAGTAGCTGACATCTCCTGTTCCAAACATTTCCATATTAAAATACAGATTTATAGTTCAAAAACTACATTGTGTTAACCAAAACATATTATGCTTTATACTTTAAAACAGCACATTAGCAAACCCATTTATCACACACGTTCAGAGCTGTATTGCCTGGGAAGAAAAGAACAAAATATAATTCCCAATTATGGTTTAATTGTACTCTGTGTAGTATATATAATGCCTTCTGCTTTAATTCGCTCCAATATTGGTCCATAGATCTCCTTTGAAAAGGGCCCCATTAGGCCTTTGGCTCCAATTTCACCTGGAAGAAAATAAATGTGTAATTACCATTTTAAAGGTGGTGTCAGAGGTTAATTTCCCCATCAAGAGTCTCCACAAAAGCAAACTCAGAGTCAATGAATTCTTGGAGGCCTAGGCATTTTTTAAGTAGCTACTTAAAAATGTCCCTTAGTAAATTATTACTTAGTCAACACTTTGAAAGCAAAAGGAGTTAATTTTAGATTGAAAGCATAGCCGGACCTAGGGATATTGTCAGAATTTGTACACTTAACTGCATTAATTACTGCCAGGACAATCAGAGAATAAAGTAAAGTAAGAAGTCAATCTGACTGGTCAGCTTAACTTGCTAATATCATATTTTTAAAAAGGCAAGACACCAACAGAATGAGTTGTAACAAGTTTGATTATATGGGCACAGGCACCTGTCAGCATGACTGAAACATAGAACCTGGGCACTCTCACTAGAGGCCACAATGACCCCAACTTCTGTCACTTATTTCTTCACTGATTCCTCAATAACTAAGTTGGTCATTTAATTTGATATTAGCTGATATGCTACTATATATTTTTTTCATTATTTCACATTTATATGCTTTGATATTTTCTACTCCCCTCATTCTTTCTTGAGAGCCAAACAGAGGCAATGCTTATTGAATGTCTATATGATCTTCCAGGGAGAGTGGAGAATTGAAATTTGTATTCATTTAGTCTAAAATATATATTGAGTACAAATAATATGCTGAGATATGAAGATTAATAAAACTTAACTTATATTCTTGAGAATCTGGAGTGAATATCTTTTTCTATTTTAGAGTTATCACTCCCAACATGGCAAAAACCAAAGAAAGGAAGGAAGGAAGTGACCATTCCCTGGGGACCCCTCTATGTGGCAGCAGATTTATGTATTATATCAGTTAGTGTCACAACAACTCTATGAAATAGGGATGGCAATACCCACTTTAACTATGAGGAAACTCTTGCTCAGAGGTGCTGAGTAACTTGCAGCCCATCACTCAGCCACCTTGTAATTGAGCTGGAGCGAAAATCAAGTCTATCTCCAAAGCCCCCATGCTTTACTCACCAACAGGGGCCCTCCCTGGCAGTCCGCGCTTGGATATTCTAAGATGGCTCACTTTTAGTGAATGCCTGTGTTACACTCAAAAGCAATTACTTGATGTCCAGGCACCAAATGACTTGGAGGTGATATGGAAACAGGCTCATGCCTCAAATGTACAGACTTACCGTCAAGCAACATTTTGGCTGCCATGGCGGTGGGTAACCCCACGGTTTTAGCCATGGCTGAAAAGCCATTGATGTCCCCATAAGCCACAAGATCAATCGTTTTATTTTCTAAATGTCCAGAAGGATGTCTGATTCCAAAGCTGTCTCTCATCACAATCATATCTTTTTCTTCAGGACCTTAAAACAAATAAAGATAAGTAAAAATGCCACTATCATTACAACTCAAATATCGTCTACCATCTCCTCCTCCTGCCCTTCTGGTTTTAAAAGTTTTCCCTCCTTTTATATATGATCACTAGACAATTAATTACACAGCTTTTTAGCCCAAAGTCAAAGTGAAAACCTCAAGGAAATTAGAACTCTGATTGCATTCCTTTATCTGGGATGGTATCACCGTATCCTGTTTACAGACACAAAGGCACTGCTTTAGAGGCCTTTTAGTGTGCTCCAAAAATGCTTCTTAGGCATTTGCCTAATGCATTTAAAAAAAAAAAAAAAAAGGTAATGCCAGGCACAGTTGCTCATGCCTGTAATCCCAGCACTTTGGGAGGCGAGGTGGGCGGATCACCAGGTCAAGAGATGAAGACCATCCTGGCCAACATGGTGAAACCTTGTCTCTACTAAAAATACAAAAATTAGCTGGACATGGTGGCGCACACCTGTAGTCCCAGCTACTCAGGACACTGAGGCAGAAGAATCTCTTGAACCTGGGAGGCAGAGGTGCAGTGAGCTGAGATCACACTACTGCACTTCAGCCTGGTGACAGTGTAAGACTCCATCTCAAATAAATAAATAAATAAACAAACAGTAAAACTATGTTTTTCCTTTTCTATAATAACTATCTTTATTTTTACTTAATAATTCTCAAATTCTTCTCCCTGGAAAAATAGTCCAATTGCCTTTTCGTCACACCACATCTTCCCATTCCAGCTGCTTGGCGCCAACCTTCCAATATGATTATCTGCACTGACTCTATCTTATGATTCTTCTTCAGGTATATTTAGATAACACTTCATAGCCTACCATAGGAAAGCTTCATGACCAAATGCTTGGAGAGGGCATCCACAATGGACTCTGCCTGAGGGACTTCTTCATCCCCAAGTAAGCCCAACCTGAAAAGCACAGGAGATGGCTGCATTAGTTCAAGTCCTATACATGTTCTCATTTGGGAAGCAAAAGGGAGCTCCTTGAATTTAATCTTGAAAGGGCAGAATTACAAGATGGTAACTCAAGTTGTAGGATTTTCCTAAAGTGTAAAATAATAACAATATCAATGTTTTAACCTTCAGAATCATCTCCAGACTCACCCAGGCACTACTCCCCGGAGCAGGGCAGAGATGATGCATTGTAATCCCATGTTCTTACAAAGCTCTTTATGAGATTAACTTAGAGGTTAGTTCTCCAACATTAAGTATACCAGCAGGATGCCACAGCAGTCATATGACAGAATGTTTTAATGTAATATTCTCTGACTACTCAGAATCTCCTACAGGAAAGCAAAAATACCCCACTATGCTTGGGAACTGAGTGATAAAGTGTTTCCAGATAAGCATTTCTCAAATTATAATTGCCATAGAGCTCCTTTTTTTAACTACTCTCTATGACCACATGAACATGGCACATGATAATCTCTCTACCCACATTAGAGCAACAAATTAATCAAAGACAAAAGTAAAATATTTAACTTATTTTAGTAGAAATTAACAATCATTGATCCAGTATATTTTGCTCTAAGTTGAGTGGTGGGTGCCTACCATTCAGCAGCCTCCAACTGGGTATTGTCTCCTCCTAGTTTGTTAAGAACAGCTTCCTTCAACACATCGTGTTCAGAGGAGGGTGAAATCCCAACTAGGTCACAGAGGAGTTGTTTCTGGTTAGAAAAATAAAGACAAAATTTCTAAGTCTCTAATAATTTTTTTTAAATTAACTGAAAAATTATCCTACTAAAACACTGAACTTCAAATACACCTCAAATTTTAAAATTAAAAATAATTGGAAACAGCGAATTGTAACACATACACATACATATACGCATCTGCATACCTACACATCAATAAATAGCTGCTATTCCAAAATGATACTTCACCAATAAAAATGGGTTCTAAGATCAACTCAATACAAAACAGATGGTGTGCTTCTTACTAGCACATTCCCTGTCTTTGTATATCCTCTCTATCACTATTTTTTTACCCATTCTCCCCCTACCCTCCAGCAGTCCATTTTGACCAGCATGAAGTGGAAAAGGCTTACTGCAGTGGTTGCCAGTAGCAACCCAGGTTCTTTTGTAGGTTCAAGAGATAAGAAAGACCTTGCAGTTAATGAAATCTCAAAGGAAGAACATGTAAACAGTAGCCATAGTTTTTTCTACTTTCGAAACAAGACTTTCTCTAGGCTCCCAAAGGAAATGCTATGCTCTAGATCAGGAGTGAACCAATTGGTTCACAGACCAAATTTGGCTCACTGTACTTCATTAAATAAAAAGTTTTATTGAAACACAGTCATGCTCATTGGTTTATGTATCGTCTATGGAAGAAGTGAGTGGTACTGACAGAGACCATGTGGCCCATAAAGTCTAAAACATTTATAACCTGGTCTTTTACAAAAAAGACCATGCCTAAGAATGTCTGCACCAACCTTCTCAAGCCAGCTGCCTCAACCCCAGGTTCTCTCTGCAGATATTTATTCACTCCTACCCAACAAGTAAGTTTATGAAAGGTAAAACTTAAGATTGGAGAGGTTCACAAATGCACACACAAAAAAATGAGTGTAAAAGCATCACAAAGAAATGATGAATGCTTAAGGTGGTAGATACTCCATTTACCCTGATGAGGTTATTACACATTGCATGCCTATTTCAAAATATATCATGTCCTCCATAAATACACACACCTACTACGTAGCCATAAAAAATTAAAAAATAATTTTTTTAATGAAACTAGCTAGCAAGAATACCAAAACTTTTTTTTGAGATTTAATAGAATTAACAACATTGGTCCTTTTCTCCTTGTGATACATTTCTGGCATTTCTATTGGAATATGGGCACACTAGTTTAAGTTGAATGACCAGCTGATAATGAGTTAATTCTGAGCAGTTAGTGGAAGCTCTACTTCACATTCAGTTCCAAGCCTCCAAAGTTCATTCCAACTCTGAGGCCTTAAGATTTTGGTAGAACAAAAGATGGACGCATAAGCTTGGTAACTGAAAATCAAAACACTCATAGTTCTAAGTAACCACATGAGAGTATTGACAAGATTTGGAGGTTGGGAATCCAGTTCTGTAATACACTAGTAACTCTCCTGGATTCTCACTTTCAGGAAGCCCAAGTGACTCCCATCACTGGGTCACCACTTAGACGACTGGAAGAGCTCAGAGCTTAATGCAGAGAGCAAATCCATCTCTTACCATAGCTCAAGGAGCAGTCAAATGATGTAAGTTGCTGCAGGAAATAGGCCTGATATGTGTCAGCCCCACACCCTCTCCATTCTTCCACAACAGTGAGGGGAAAGGGGGCTTCAGAATTACGATTTATCTTCCTGCTCATAAGCTAATAAATGGGTTCTTTTGTTGATCCAAAGTAGAGTTCACCCCCGACCATTTCAGAAGGTATTTCTGAAGAGAAGCAGATAGAACGTAATTCCGGAGTCACTCACCCAGGTGAGAAAGTTGGCCTCAGGTCTAAAGGCAGGAAGTGCTTCTCTGTTTATAAGACCTAATTTTACAAATCCATTCAAAGCTTTCATATATCCCTGAAACAAGAATTAATAAGTAGTATATAAAATGTTTCTCTTCCAATGAAAAAATATAAAATATTTTTGAAAAGAGGGATCTATCTTCATAACTAATTTAGAAAATAATTGTTTATATTGATGATATGAATGCTACAGCTGTTTTAGAATTTGCTAAGCAGGTTTTCTCATCTTTACTAGAAACCCCTCTCCACAACCTACCAAAAAAAAAAAAGTATTGAGGATATAGTTACAACTAATTTCAAACTCAAACTGAGATCAATAGTGTCATAACAATTCCACTGGTTTACATAAAAGACCTTGCAAAACTTAGGTCTTTACTTCTGTTTCTGGGTAACATGTGAATGAAATTTTCTGGCAGCATAAGGGCAAATTTTCTCATGTGTTATATGCTGTCAGCTCAGCAGAATATTATTTAATAGAACAGTCAGTTGAGCCCTTTCTTATAATGGAAGGAGGAACTTGTAAGAATATCCTCCCCAAAAGCAGATAATCCAATCTACTGATTAGAGCCACTACCCCCAAGATATATGGAGAGAAGAAAAAGAGGTAGGAATCAGAGAGATTTTTCTAAGATAATGATGACATCACCACTCTGATAAAAATTCCTCATATGTCTTTCATTGTCTACAAAGCAAACCTGAGGTCCTTGGTATAGTATATAAAACCCATCACAATATGCTCATCTAACCTAACTCACAGATCTCCACTTTTACTATTCCCCAAATGCGCTGTGTTCCTCCAGAAACCAGGGCCTCTGTATATGCTGCTCCTGTAACTGGAATGTGTTGGCCATACTTCTTCATTTACGAAATGTTTTCTCCTCCCTTCAGACCTAGTTTAGCACCTCTTCTGAGTCCCCTAGGTGAGTGGAGACTCCCTTCTTGTAGCATTTTGTATATACCTTTATCATGGCAATTAATACAGCTTGTAATTAATTGTCTATTCAGCTGCTGTACTGTAGGTATTGAAAGGAGGCAAATAATATCTTTATTATATTATATTATGTTATATTATATTTTATTTGTGTGCATATTCTTCATCCCAATGCCCACTTCGGGGCAGATAAGTCAAGCAAATAATGCTTAGTCCATGGTGAGCAAAAATGCATCACCACTCATGACTAAACTGTAGAAGAGTATTATATTAATAGGTGCTAGGTTAGAGGAAAACACAGCTGTGGGAGCACAAAAGAAGGGGAACTCACATAGATGGGGCTGGGTGGTTCAAGGGGAAGGAGTTAGGGAGGATACCATAGGAAGGTATTCAACATTATTCAACATTCCAATCCATTATTCAGCATTCCAATCCCCTAAAAGAGAACAAATGGCTGGATAAATAGATTCTGAATAATAGATGAAGTGAAGAAAGACCATAATGGTTTATTCTCCAGTGTGCAAATGGGAAGCAGGGTGAGAGGGCTAAGATAAGAAATTTTGCAGCTGCTGTAATTACTGCTCAAGCAGAGAGAGAGAGAAGAAAAGAGAGAGAGGGAAGTAATTCTAGGGAGCAACAGAATTTTTAAAATATAAAATAGTTCCTGTAACCATCAGATACTTCACTACTGAATGTCTGGTCAACTAGCAATTTTCACATTTCTAAAGGTTATATTGTTCAAACTGTTTAAAGGTTACTAAAAAAAGAATTCTCATTTGCTCTAATCCAAATGCAAATATACTTCAAAGAGGAGAAACAGAAAAGTAATATCACTAGCTTGTTTAGCTCGCTTCTGGGACCTGTTAGGTGCTAGAGATCCCTTTATCCAACATCTAAAATGCTGATTTCTGAGCTATTTATTAATCTCAGAAATATATTTTTATGCTGACCCCTAGAAATGAATTTATTTTAGGTATTCATTCATCAATAAGCATTTAGCAAACTGCTGCCATATGTCAGACTTGTGCTAGGGACTGAGGCCACAGAGACGAAAAAAAAATGCAGTCCCATCTATGCAGAAACTGCAGTCAACAGAAGGTCAGATAAGTCAAGTAAATAATTCCTAGTCCATGGAGCGCAAAAATGCATCACCACTGATGACTAAACTGTAGCAGAGTATTATATTAATATGTGCTATGTTACAGGAAAACATAGCTGTGGGAGCACAAAAGAAGGGGAACTCACATAGATGGGGGTGGGTGGTTCAAGGGGAAGGAGTTAGGGAGGATACCATAGGAAGGTGCTATTAAGCTGCATCTAGAAGAACAAGCAGGTGACAGGCAGGCAGAGAAGGAGAGTAGCCAAGGCCTCTTTGTCATATTTGAATGATGGTATCTCATCTCCAATACTGGAAAGAATGTTAGGGTTACCAAAGGGTTGCTGGCATTGCCCAGGATGGTGGCCCTTATGATTATGAACACTGTGACATCTTCCATCCTCAGAATCTGTGGGGATGTCTCCCACTTGCACACCTTGTTGAGACCTTTATTCAATGTTTAAATCTATTAAAATCCTTCATTCCAGGATCTATATGTTTGTCAAAAGACTATACTGAAAGCCATATATCCTAACTACTGGCCAAAAAAAAAAAAAAAAAGTTACTACTCATATTCTTTGAACAAATTGAAGAAAAGAGATGAAGAAATCTGCCAGAGCTGGGGATAGTATGCATGAGTTCAGACTAGAATTTCCACTGTGCCTAAAGGTTGGTAGAAGAGCCACAGCTCCTAGATCTCAGGAGGACATTGTCATTGATGTCTCATTTGATTCCTGGACAATGAAAAAGTCATATTCATGGAGTACAAGCACCTGCTCTCTAGGAGCTTACAATCTCTTTGCGGAGACAAGAAAAATATACATGAAATTATAATTTAAAATGCTGACAAGTAAACGCTAAGTGCCCATAAATGTAACAGAAGCTCTCAAGAGTAAGAAATACAGTGGTTGTTTTCTTTTTAAGAACAGATAGGTGGGTGAACCTGGAAGACATTTTGCTAAGTGGAATAAGTGAGACACAAAAAGTAAAATATTGCATGATCTCACTTACATGCAGAATCCTTTTTTTTAAAGAAAGTAAAATATGCAGAGATAGAGAATAAAACTGGGTTACCAGGGGCAGGGTTGCAAAGAAGAAAAGAACAAGGCCTGAAGGAGTACGATACAAACACTTGGAGGAATATTTCTAGGCAAAAGGAACAGCCAGCAAAAAAAGATAAGAGAGCGACAGAAAAGCAGGCACAAGATTGAAGAGTCATCACTGACAGGTCCATGTGCCTTACATCTTCCAGTTAAAAAGATAATTAGGGAATACTAGATAACACACATGAGACAAATCCCCTCTCTGGCCTTAGCCAGGAAATCTCACAAGACAGACAGATTTGCAGCCAGGTCTCTGATCTTGAGAGACGCATGTATTTTAGGTATGCTGGTTACATTAGGTTGAGTTGAGTGCCCTGTCGCCAAATTCATGGGCATTCAGAGCCTCAGAATATGGCTTCACTTGAATGTTTGCAGATAGAATTAATTAAGGATCTCAATATGAAGTCAACCTGGATTTAGGGTGAACCCTAAGTCCAATGACTAGTGTCCTAATAAGAAGGGAGGCAACACAGTGAGACATACAGAAGAAGGTGATATGAAACTGAGGCACAAATTGGATGGATGTGTCTCAAAGTCAAGCCTCCAAAAGGCACCAACCTTACTCACATACACCTTGATTTCAGACTTCTGGCCCCCTGAATGGTGACAGAATAAATATCTATTGTTTCAAGCTACCCAATTTGTGATATTATGCTAGAAAACTATTAAACCAGTTGTCTTGATTTGGTTACACTTGTAACTGCTTTTTTTGTGATCAACAAATGTGTAGTGGACATTTGCATTTATGCTCCTAGAATGTACTCCCCATTTTGTGGTTTAAAAACATTTTGGATTTGCTCTGGGGAGGCCCCTTTAATCTTGTCTGTTTCCTCCACCCCAGTCCCCATTTTTTAATGACATTGAATCCATCTCCATTTCTAGGGACATATAACATAGGTCAAAGTAGATGAGCACATTTTATCCCACTGACCTTAGGGAGCTACTGAGACAAAAATCGTATTTTTGGCTATTAGAACGGTATCATTTTTTATTCCCACTGAATTTGATCCTGAGAGCCTGGGGATGCTGCCACAACTCTGCCATCGCATAGCACTTGAGACTCCAGTGAATACTGGAAAGAAGAGCTGAGAGGTTACGAGAAATCAGGTCCTGGGGAAGTCACTTGACCTCTAACTCTCACTAAGCCTGAAGCCCTGCCTGTCCTCAATCCTAATGAGTCAATTAATTATCTTTTTATTTTGAGGTGAGTCTCCTAAAATATTCAATCATAAGATTTCTGAGAAAAAAAATAGACTCCAACTTGGTTTATCATCTTAATTATTTTGACTACTAAGAAAAGTTAAGTGTACACATCACTTACATCAAAACTGGCAACATGTTGAATCTAAAGTCCAGCTGCTTACCTTATATCTCAGTGTCCCCCGCAACAAAGTGTGAGCAGAAGAAATGCCATAAATCTCAGCATATTTCGTACTGTCTCTGTTAGGATAGCCTTCCAAATTTAATCCTGGGAAAAAATCCATGGACGTAACGGCATCAAGAAAGGAGATGCCCCCTGCAACATTCACAACCTGAGGAACATTGAGAAGGCACAGATGGGGTTACAGTTGTTCCTTTCTTTTAGGGCTTCCCTGCATTATATGGACAAAGAAAGCAACAGAACTTTGAAAAAAAAAATAATGAAACCACCATAATCATTATCCCATACTTAAGCTGTTCTTCTAATATCATAATTAACAAAGCAATTCTTCTCTCAAGCCTCAAAATTTGACTCTAAAACATTTAGTTTTTCTAAACATAAGGTCTTATTTTCAAGTTTTTTCCTTCCCCTGGATAAAATGGCACTAAATTATTTACCACTAGAATTTGCCTTTTTTAAAAATATAAATATTTAGAAAAAAGTTTTAAAATAAACATTTTAATTTTATTTTTTAAACATTTATTTAAAAATAAAAAATGTTTAAAAAATAAACATCTAAAATTATTTTATATAAAAATGTTTAAAAAATAAACTTAAAAAAATAAGTTAAAGCAACAGATAATTATTTAAATGGCTTCTATGCTCAAACAACAATCAATATTCTCATTCTTTTCTTTTACTTTCATGACCCTTCTAAATGCCACATTAGGCATCAGTCACATACATTTCATTCAGACAGCTAAATTTATTGAGCAGTTACTATCTATGTGTCGGGGATCACACAAATTGTGAAGGGAATAACATGAGTGATGAAATAAAAATCTTTTGATATCTCAGTACTTCTATTTCCCATACCCCTACTCCCATCACACATACTCAAAATGCAATGAAGGATTTCTTTGTCTCTAATTTTAATTAAAGGACAAATTTTCTTTTAGTTTATGAGGCTTATTATTATCATTGAGATAATGGAAAGTATTCTGGAGTGATAAAATTAGGTGTGAGAATTCTGGTTGGTGCTGCTGGTGGAACTGAATTTTATCCTTATTGTACCACTGGAAACAATTTCTGACCAATTTCTCTAAGCTGCACAAAGCAATACTGTACCAGGGAGCTGCCAATGTACTTTAAGGTGGATTCACAGGATTTGCCTGAAGAGGCCTTTGGCTAAACTTAATGATTCTCATGCCTTATTTGTAGATGGGTTCTGAACGTGCCTTTGTATGAGACAGAAAATGGAAACTCATTTATATGTGGATGAAGCCTCAGAAAGAAAAGGGCTATGCTGGCTGCAATGTCAGGACCACTGGAGTCTTTTCAGTTCAGAGGCTCACTTTGGAGAGTGCCAAGCACCATTTCAAATTTCAAAAGTGAAAATCTGAATGAAGGATGTAAGGAATGCCTTTCATTTAATTTTCTTGTGAACTCTTCTAGACTGCAGAGTAAACATTTCCAAAGGGATGATTTCTGTACTACATCTTTAAAATCAATATATTTAAAAGAATTCTAAAGTTTTGAAAAAATGTAAGAAAGCAAATGTTGGGCATTGTAGTGCCCACCTGTAATCCCAGCTACTTGGCTCGGGAGGCTGAGGCAGGAGGATGGCTTGAGCCCAGGAGTTTGAGAATAGCCTGAGAGACACAGGCTGTTTAAGACACTATCTCTTAAAAAACAAAAAAAGCAAATGTTGACCGTTAGGGTCTTCACACCCATCTCATTTCTGTAATCTATGACAGTTCTTAAGTTTTGTTTGCTTGTTTGAAGGTCAGGAAAATTTCTGAAAGAAAAATTCAATAAAGACGACAATATTCTAGCTTACCAATCAGAAATAAAACAGCAAGTTCATAAGTCTATCATGAAATCCTTACAAAGAAGATGGAGAAATGTAAGCTGAATGGCAATGGTTCATTTATTGAGAATGGCCGTTGGCTAAGCAACCTGACCCAAAAATTACTGGGTAATCATTGTCATTTGATATTAATTCATAGTTGTATTTCTAGTGGCATATAATGTAATTCAACAGTAAGTTCTTTCTTGGTTATTATTTTATTAATAATTTGAATGACAACAGAAACATATTCGTCTGTTTTGTGGAGAATATACGTTTCTTTCTGCTCTGACAATGCTCAGGCTCATTATTCACTGCTGTTGCAAGTTTCTCTAGGTCCAGCTCTTTCACACACACACACAAATAAACACAAATACATATCTCCCAACTAGAGAGAATCACTGTTATATTTGAATAATGTATCATATATATTTAAATAATCACAATAAGCTTGATCACCAAATTAATAAGGAAATATACAATCATTTTTTCAGGGCCCACTACGTGCCCCGTGCCTTGTACTGGGCATTATCTTTAATCCATGAAATAACCCATTTTTCAGAGGTAAAAACTGAGGCTGAGTCACCCAAAGGCAAATTGAACTCAGTTCTATTTGACTGCAATGTCTGTATTCCTTCTACTACACTCTCCCCTTAATCATGCTTATTTCTGGATCAGTATTTTTAAGGGGATATTGACAAAGTCAGCATTCCAGATTATGCCACCTGGGATGCACCTGAAAGCTGCATAAAGAATGGATACAGGCAAAGGAAGATAGTGGTAGCTCTTGATTTCCAAGGGGCTGGGTGCTGCAGTCAAGGTGGTGGCAGGCAATGGATAGAGGGCTAGAAAACTTCTCTTAAAGCGATGTTTTCAGAGCAAGCACACTTCTCACTCAGATTACATGTTTTGCCAGGTTAGACTGGGAAACACTGCGGAAGGTGATGGCAAAGCTCTGCCATGTCACTCCCAAATGCCACCAATGTAAAAAAGTATACCACCCCTGTGAGGGGAATGAAACCAAGAGAAGATGAAATCACTGTCTCCGAATATGTGGAAGAAAATCACAATTGTTAGGAATCAAATTAGAAGTTAGAAATAGTACAAGTGGCTAGAAATTACTGCAAAGATATAAGACAATGAGATATATTCAAATTCATAGGCCACTGCCCAATTTCTGGAAAAGTTTAAGGCTTCAATTTTAAGTAGAAGTCAGAGAAGTGACTTGGTTCCCCATTATGATTCTGTGAATTATTTAAGACCCGTTCCATGGTGCAGGGTGATGATGGCACAGGGAGTGAAGGGCAAGAATACAAGAGAGGTTTTAAGTTGTTTAACAATCTGGCTTGGGAAACACACTGATACACTTGAATTACTGACTGAATAATGCAGCACCTAGAAAATTCCTAGACACGGAAAAACGAAGTGTCTGATTCTTTGATTCAGTTCAGACAAAATAATAGTGAACAGAGGCTGGAGTGGTCACAAAAAGCTTCATCCACAAGAGGAAACGCAAGTGGGACCTTGAAAAGAGTATTTTTTTTGGCAAGGAAAGGAAAGTTTTCTTTTTTTTTTTTGTTTTCTTCCCCGTTTTCGGGGGGTTGAAAAAGTACTCATTTTTACAAAAGAAGTTTAGGATGAAAGAAGAGAATTTCAAATCTAACAAATACAACTTCTGCTACCTGAAAATAACCTCTTGCTTTTCTTAAACCCTCACAACTACTAATTTCCTTAAGTAGCTAATATTTGCTAGATTGATTTCATGCCTGACAATCTGCTGTTAGGCAGATTGCAATCTATGTGACCTCGCTGACTAAGAACCCCGGAAGGCTGGCGTGATTGTCCTCATCTTCCGACAAGGAACCCAAAGCTCACAACCAGTAATGGCAGAGCCAGGCCCACAGATAGCAAGTTTCTTGCTCTTTCTTTTAGATGATTGTACTCTGCTGACCCTTTCATTGTTACCAACTTTAGCATTTATAAGGCCTCCCGAAAATAAGTGTTTTACTCAACTGAGACAAGAATTTGTCTTGCTTTCACATGTTAATTTATACTAAACATAGGCCAGTCTCTTAAGATCGCAGAAGGTAAAAGGAGCAGTTGGAATGCAATAGGAGACAGGCTGTAGCATGTAAAAGGATGTGTGCTTGGTAAAACATCACACTAAGATTCTGGTCCAAACCTTCATGATTCATAGAACTGAAGAATTGGATGGAACATCAGTGCTCACATTCCGCATCAGGAAACTGACATCCGGTGGATCTTTTCAACTGCCAGGTCTTTGGCTATGTTATGAGGGATGCCAGGAATTAGACCAGAACTCATCGATCCTGTTTATTATCCTGAAACATGTCACACATTCCAGCACCAAGTTAAAGTGTCCTGCTTGTTTAGTACTATTTTAAGTGTAGCTGTGGTTCTCTGATCATTAAATGAGTTGTTCTCAAATTCGGCTGCATATTAGAATCACTAGGGAGATTTTAAAAATCCCCAAACCCAGGCAAATCAGAATCTTTAGGGATGAGGCCCAAGCACTTTTTAAACTCCCCTTGTAATTCCAAGGTACAGCCAACTATGAGTTATTCTCTGTATCACAGGCACGGAAGACCATGGCTAATAACAGCATTCCTTGTTGCTTAAGAAATTCTTTCTGTCAACTCCTGCAATACATTTCGATTCACAGATTCATTGACAATGTAAAATACTGATGCTAGAATAATCTTTTTAAGACACATCTATCTGATCATATTACTCATCATTCCCTGCAGGGCCAGTACTAGGGCAAGGTGGGTGAGTGCCTACAACACAATTCAAAGAGGCACTCTGAGTCTCATTACATTTTTCTCCAAACTATGAGCATAAACTATGAAGTCAGATAGATGTGATTTGGATACTGGCTCTGCCACTTGCCATTTCTTTAAATGTAGCTGTTATCTTAAATCCCTAAACCTGATTTTTCCCCTTGTAAAACTGTCATACCATGAGTGCTAACATCCCTGCCTAGCTGGCACCTTCATATCCTTCAAGGCCAAGCACATCCTCTTCTCCACTAGTTTTCCTTCTCCCCATCCTCCTTCCCTCAACCCCTTCACCAAGGCCAATTAAACTGTTCTCCTGTCTGTACCTCTGAGCCACTTTAACATGCTTTGGAAATTTCCCTATTCAATTATAATTATTTATTCCCGTGTCTGTCCTTCCAGCCATTAGGCAATCTGGCAAAAGGAGAAAAAAACATCTTTAAGAGTTAGTTAGACCTGGGTTTGACTCTCAGTCAAATGACCTCAGACATAGTCTCTGAGCCACAGCTTTCTTATTGTAAAATAATGAAAATAATACTAAACTCAGAGAGTTCTTACGTTCTATTACATGGCAGCTGGGGAAGAAATTGCAGTTTCTTTCCCCAGCACAACAAACCCTCCATTCTAAGAGCTAAACCCCATCCCCAATCCAGCTGTGAGTTTCCTGAGGTCATGAATTTCATTCTCCGTGCCAGTCTTGGGTAACTTGCCCAAAGTCCAGCACATAGTAGATACTCAGAAAATGTCTGTCATGCTGAAATAAACCAAGAGATAACCAGTGTTTACATATATAGAGAAGTGAACTTTTGAATGGCAGAAACAACTTGTGAGAAGGCATAGGGAAGAATAGGCGCAGGCTTTGCTTGGACCCGCAAGGAGACCATGCTGAACAGCGCAGAAAACATACACTGTGAAATACCACAGGAGGAGATAATGGAGACAGCATTATTAAAGGGTTTGGGATCAGGGAGTATTTAGACTGTCCCAGGCAGTTATTGCAGGTTGATATCACTATGCTTGGATGAGATTCCTCACCTTTCCATCAAGCAGATAGGTGGCAGACTGCATTACGTTCATCAAAACTCCCACCGGACTCCAGCTAAATTTATATCTCAATGGATTGTTCGAATGTTCGGGGGCTGGAAGCCCACCACAGTAGGAAATATATGATTCAATCTATAAATTAAAGAATCAATATATAAGGAAGAATTCACAAGTTAGAGAATGTCTAAGTAATCAATTGAGGACAATGATATGAATGGAGTAAACTTGCTACAGTTTTTCATTCTTAAAGTTACTAAGGCGTTCGAAAATACATCTTCGAAGCCATGTACCATTCAATTAAATAACAGATGATTTTATATATATGTTTTTTTAAAAAACTGTAAAAATAGTGACTAACATTTTGTTCAGTTAAAAATCCAACTCTTAGTTCAATTCTACTTGGTCAGTTCCTACTAACTTTTGAATTCAAATTATATATTTACATATATATAATTTAAATACATATATATACACACATTCAAAAAACCTAAAACAATCTGAATCATCCCATTTACACCCAAAAGTACCTTGTCAAAGGTACTATTTCATAAATGATATTTCATATCAACAGACTCTGATACCCAAAGATTCGTCTCATTTTTAAAAGTCAAACCTTCTTACAGAATCTTCAAGGTAGTCTAAAATTTGTATTAAGCCAAAATCTTACAGTAGCATCTGTTTCTCCAAAATTTGGTTGCTACCTAAGACCTGGACATTGTTTTCCCATATAGATATTTTTGCAGTTATAAGATTTTATTTAAAATTTCTGGGAGGCCAAGGGGGATGGATCACCCGAGGTCAGGAGTTCGAGACTGGCCTGACCAACATGGAGAAACCCCATCTCTACTAAAAATACAAAATTAGCTGGGCACAGTGGTATGTGCCTATAATCCCAGCTACTCAGGAGGCTGAGGCAGGAGAATTCTTTGAACCTGGGGGTGGAGGTTGCAGTGAGCCGAGATCATGCCATTGTACTCCAGCAAAAAAACTCTTTAACTTTGATTAAAGTTGTTGCTATATTATAACTCATACTTTGATTCTGTACACAAGAAGTTAGACATTTTCATGTTCTCCTTTGGGCATAAATTGGGCTCACCGTGGCTCCCACTTCCTTGGCTTTATCTATTGTTTCCATTGCTAACATGTGATCAAGACCAGGGTCCAATCCCAATTCACCAATGACTGTGATGCCGGCATCTTCCACACTGCAGCAGGTGGAAAGAGGAAAAAGGAAATCTTGAATATAAAATAAAAACAATGCCATGGATTCACTCAGTTTGTTTAAAATGATTAAAACTTACCTCTTTTCCAATTCTTTTAGTGCTGGTGTGATGTAGCTTGCAGTGACCATGTTAACTTTGTTTGTGATGCAGGCCTTGGCCACAAGAGGGTGCAATACATAAGGCAACAAGCTTAAAAACAGGAAGAAACTAATCAGAAACTCCCTTTTTCAACCCTACCTTCCGAGGTACTTGAACTGTATTAAAGCTGCATCTTAAGTTACTGTTCTGATTAAATTATTCTCTCAGAAAAGGCAACATTTATACACTGTTGGTGGGAATGTAAATTAGTTCAGCTGCTACAGAGGGTAGTTCAGAGATTTCTCAAAGAGCTAAAGGTTGAACTACCATTCGACCTAGCAATCGCATTACTGGGTATCTATCCAAAGGAAAATAGATTATTCTACCAAAAAGACACATGCACTCACATATTCATCACAGCACTATTCTCAATAACAAAGAATGGAATCAATTGACATGCTCATCAATAGTGGATTGGGGCCAGGAGCTGTGGCTCATGCCTGTAATCCCAGCACTTTAGGAGGCCAAAGACAGGTGGGTCGCTTGGGTCCAGGAGTCAAGACCAGCTTGGACAACGTGGTGAAATATCATCTCTACAAAAAATACAAAAATTATTCCAGCATGTTGGTGCATGCCTGTAGTCCCAGCTACTCCAGAGACTGAAGTGAGAGGATCACTTGAGCTCAGGAGGTCAAGGCTGCAGTGAGTCGAGATCACACCACTGCACACCAGCCTGGGCAGTAGGGTGACATCCTGTCTCAACAAAACAAAACAAAATGAAACAAAAATAAAAAACACACCAAAAACAGTGAATTGGATTAAAAACTGTAATACATACACACCACTGAATACTACATAGCCATAAAAAAGAATGAAATCATGTTCTTTGCAGCAACATGGATGCAGCTGGAAACTATTATCCTATGCAACCTAACACAGAAACCGAAAACCAAATACTACAGGCTCTCACTTACAAGTAAGTGGGAGCTGAACATTGGGTGCACATGGAATTAAAGATGGAAACAATAGACACTGAGCACTACCAGAGGGAAGAGGTAAGAAGTGAAGCAAGGGCTGAAAAACGACCTACTGGGTACTATGCTTGTTACTCGGTGACAGATTCATTGATACTCCAAACCTCAGAATCACACAATATACTTTTGTAATAAACCTGCACATGTAACCCCTGATTGTAAAACAAAAGTTGAAAGTAAAATAAATAAATATTCCCTTGGACATGATCAATGACTCCCTGTGGGCCACAGAATAAAATCACCTTTTTATCACATTTAAATAGCAACACTATTCTATTGACCTGAGGAGGAATAAATGCCTGAGAAGTGGTTTTATTGTTTATTTTGTTTTTGTGTTTTTTTATGAACTAGAGAAAATCTGAAGTACACAGAATGAATTTGACAAGTACAATGGTGTAGTATGATATTGGTTATGTTGGTTTTCATGTTTTTGTTGGTACTGTAGACAGTTTTACCAAATAGTCAATAAAAAACAACTTAAATATTGTCATGTAATTGACAGGGTATTTTATTATTCCTACAATATATATAATATATTGTACTATTCCTACAATAGACGCTATTGTACAATAGATACACTCATTTATATAATACTCATATTTATGAAAATTCGATTTCTCGTGATTATGCAGTCCCAGTACCAAATTATAATCCCAAAGCCAAAATTGTTGAAAACCTAGTCAAAGTTGAGCTTTGAGTACAGCATCATCTGTTGTTCACCATGTGGATTTTTAGCGATTTTGATAGCCTTTACACTGATCAACACCATTAAAGCCTATCTCCTCCTTGGGCCCTTCCTGGAGTCTACTCAATAACGTAATACATGGGCCATCTTGACCTAGTTTGCCACTTCCTGATAGCCATTTGGAAGATGTGGAGGTAAAAAGAAAGGCAGCCCTATTTTAGTGGAAAACCCAAGACAGAAAACCCCAATCCAAATTATATCTGCCCCTTTAAGAAATTTCCAAAAAGTTGTTTTCCTCCACAAAGCTTTCCCAGATTCCCCCAAAGCCAGATATCCTTCCTCTGCATGCAACCAGTTATATCTTTTTAACATTTAATGGAATTTGATCCATTCGTCCCTGTATTTCTACAGCTCATGTATTACATTATTGAGCAGACTCCAGGAAGGGCCCAAGGAGGAGATAGGCTTTAATGGTATTGATCAGTGTAAAGGCTATCAAAATGGCTAAAAATCCACACGGTGAACAACAGATAATGTTGTACTCAAAGCTCAACTTTGATTGGGATTTCAACAAATTTGGCTGTGGTATAATAATTTGGTTCTGGGACTGCATAATCATAAGAAATTAAATTTTCATAAATATGAGTGTTATATACATGAGTATATCCATATTCTATTCTAGGAACAATAGAATACCCTATTAATTACATGACAATATTTAAGTTGTTTTTAATGCCTGTTTGGTAAAGCTGTCTACAGTACCAACAAAAAAATAAAAACCAATGTAAACAGTATCACACTATATCGTTGTACTTGTGAAATTCCTTCTGCATACTTCAGATTTTCTCTACTTCATAAAAAAAGATAAAACCACTTTTCAAGCATTTACTCCTCCGCAGGTCAATGGAATAGAGTATTGCTATTTAAATTTATTATAATGCAGAATAAAATTGTGTATGTCTTTTATCAGTATCAAAAGCTCCTGGTCTCTGTGTTTTTGTTTCTTTAAACCAAAAAGAATTAGTGCTAACAAATTTGGTAGACTTTTAGAAGCCACTGAGTAAAATACTTGCAAAACTATTAGAACCAAATATTAATAGAAAAGGTGCAATGTCATCATCTTAAAAGTTAAGCAGAAATTTTTAAATCACATTCTCCATATTAAACTTGCCCAATCAAAATTTTACTAAGAACTAATAATATTTTAAAACTTGTCCTTATAATAGGCTGAGAAGTACAATATTAGGATTGTGCCTGGTGGCACTTTTTAGACAAACGGATTAGAGTTCATAATTCATCTTGAATATGATATAGGAAGCACTCAATGGGACATACTCAAATTATTTAAGTTGACTACAGCCCAATTACTCCAAAAGGTCAAAAATGTCACTTGTGAAAAATACATACAAAATACATGCGGAATTTTCAAAGAAACATTGAAATCAATTACTACTTTGTATTAAATTATTAAAAACTAAATTTGAAAAATTAAAACTATGAGAACTGTACATATTACTAAAATTTTTTTGAAACATATTCTTTACTCATTTTTTTGTAGTCCCTATCACTGTGTTTATATCAAAACATTATTTCCTCAACTTAAAAAATAAAACAGTTGGCCAGGCATGGTGGCTTATGCGGTAATCCTGGCACTTTGAGAGGCTGAGGCAAGTAGATTGCTTGAGGAGTTCAAGACCAGCCTGAGCAACATGGTGGTACCCCATCTCTACTAAAAATACAAAATGTAGTTAGGCATAGTGGCATATGCCTGTAGTCCCAGCTACTTGGGTGGTTGAGGTGGGAGGATCACTTGAGTCTGGGAGGCGGAAGTTGCAGTGAGCCAAGATTGTGCCACTGCATTCCAGCCTGGGTGACAAAATGAGACTCTGTCTCGAAAAAAGAAAAAAAAAAAATGTAAGGAATGCTATAGGATAACACTGTTTAATGGCATTACCACTCTTCAGCATAGAAAATATACCAAATGAGAAAAGATTAAATATAAAACAGATTTTGCTAATGCTAAATCTTATTGAAGGCCACCTGTTTGCTAAATTTTAAAATTTGGATATATTAATAGATTGATGTCTTTGTCCATTATCTTGTCACATTTTATTTCAGATTTTGTTTCAAATGGATTTTATTGTGTTATTTACTTTTAATTAAAAATGATATATTTAGGTACCTATGTGTGTCAAAATGAATTACTGTTCTACTTGGAAGGCTAGATCATTGTATTTTGAATCAGGATTTCTTTACATGGTAAATATCAGAGAGGTTTAGTTGGTCATTAGTCAATTTTTTCTAGATAAAAATTAATGCTCATAAAATTTTTATAAGTTGAGTGACATTTTAAGTGCATGAAGTTAGCCTACATTTAAAGATACCAAGAGAAATGTAAAAATGCCAGCTTACAGAACTACCTTTCATTATATGATTTCCAAGCTTGCTTTTTTTTTTTTTTTAAGCAGAATATCACGGAACTTCCTCCAAAGATACAATTTGAAACCAATCTGTGAAAGTGATTAGGTAATCACTGTGAGGGAACAGATAACTGTCTTCCTCTCATCTTGGGAAAATTCTAAGAATGAATAACTATTCTCATCACTTTGACATATCAAAACCAAATGTATTTATTATTTATTTATTACTTTGATTTTAGGTTCAGGGTACATGTGCAGGTTTGTTATACAGGTAAATTGTATGTCATGGGGGTATGGTGTACAGATTATTTCGTTATCTAGGTAATAAGCATAGTACCCAATAGGTAGTTTTACGATCCTCACCCTCCTCCCACCCTTTACCCTCAAGTAGGCCCTGATGTCTATTGTTCCTTTCTTTGTGTACACATGTACTCAAATATCAAAACCAAATTTAGTTATAGAGCAAATCTCATGTAATGCTGTATCTAGATGTTAGATCTGCATTTTTGTTAGTAATACTCTATTTCAAGATCTGTTGCTATGAGAGACTTAAAATGGTCATAAGGCTAAGTAATCTACTTATTTCATTTAAGTTTTATAACTCCAAAGAACAAAATGGATACTAAAGTATATAAAACATTAGTACCTTATGACCTGCAATCGCACTTCTAAGTATATACCCAACAGAAATGTGTAATTACTGTTTTGGTGAAATGGTCACAAAAAGACAAATACTGAAATGTGTATAACAGTGTGACTTATAACAGCCAAAATCCAGAAACAACCTAAATATCTACAGTAGTCAAATAAATAACAATGGTATATTCACATAATGAAATACTACACAGCAATGAGAATGAATAAACTATTATTTCAGACAATAGCACAGATGACTCTCATAATCACAACACTGAATGGAAGAAGGCAGCCACAAACGAGCATATATTGAATGATTCCAATTATATGAAGTTTGAAAGCAGGCAAAAACTGAATGTCAGAAGCCAGGATAGTGTTTACTCTTAGAGGATGGGGTAAGCGAATAGAAAGAGGCACCAAGAGGGCTTCTGGGGAATTATTGATACTCTGTTTCCTGACATAGATAATCGTCACAGAGTGTGTTCACTTTGTGAAAATTCATTGAGCTAGATACTTATGATTTGTGCACCTTCTGGACCCATGGTTCAATTAAAAAGTTTACTCCAAAAGAGTATGAAGAGAGAAGTGAAAGAGAAAGAGAAAAATAAGAGAAAAGAAATAACAACAAAAATATGAAACTCATTTCTTGCCAGATACTGACCTGATGACAAGATCCTGTTTTGCCACCAAGAAGCCCAGCTTCTCTTCTTGTTTACAAATGTCCATGCTAACAGGATTAATATTATATTTCTTGCCTAACTGTTCAATTTGATTCTTCATGTCAGAGCCTATTTCAAGAATTAAAAGTCACATTTTTAGATATGTCAGAGTAAAATATATTTTAATATCTCCAAAAATAAATGTTCAAATTTCAGAAACAAAGTAGTCTTCTAAAATGTAGAAGTCAACATGCTTTAAAATATATTTTTCTTCTTCAAAAATTAGGGCTTATTTACCTACTGTTATTTCTATATTGCCATCTCTTGATAAATATTCCAATACAGGCTCAGATACATAGCCAGATCCAAGAACCAAAACCTTTCTGGTGCCCATTGAAAGTGACTGAGCACATTCCCTATTTAAAAAAAAAGAGGGGAAGGGGCTAATTAAAATTTTATTTTTTTTAAATAACAGAATCTTGCTGTCCACAAATCATACTAAAACCTAAATAATGAAGCAACATTTTCTCTTCACATTACTTAAAATAAGAATTTCAACATGAGTGAGTTCCCTATACCAACATATTTCTTCAATTATTTTACATTTTGTACAATGAAGAACAATAGACATGATGTCTCTGAGATATATATCTGTAGATGTATAGATGTATTTCATGAATTTCCAGTATTACTAGTGAGGTGCAGGTGCTGGACCTTTTCTTGGTTTGCTTGTGATTAAGTAACTTGGTCTCACATTTCATCCTTCCAGAAGATGTAACTCAAAATCATGCAAGGGGCTTTACCTTGGAAACTTTATTACTCACATCAATCCCAGAAGGCAACAATTTGAGCAAGAGAATATTATTACCCATATTAGAAATTGTTTTGTCATATATCTTTAGGGTCACTTGAAAATAGTCAAAACCATGACTTTGAGTCACAAATGTCACGGGTTAAATGTAGAAAACGAAGATTAGTGTTAGGCATTATTTTAATTCTTAAACAGTTTATTCTGCTGGAATTATACCTTCCAGGCAGATGATTTTCTGTCTTTCCCACAAACTATGACCTCCAAGGCAGCATCTAAGACTTACCCATCTTTACAAACCCATTAACGCTCAGCATGTTTTGTTTTAAATATGGAATTTACTCATTAAATATTTTTTGAATCAAATTCCCTATTATCAACATGAAACCAAAGAAATGGCCTGGTGCCAGGGACTGAAGTAGGCTCTGTTATTTAGAATCTTTAGGTCAGAATGTCTCTTGAACATTAACCCAAAAACCTTTTCATTAATTTTAAATAAATAAAAATAAGTATAAGTATGAAACATTCCTGTCCCTCTGTACCCCAACACACATTATTACTGATGTGAAGAGGTCTCATTTAACTACTACCGTCTCCCATTTCACCTTCCAGAGAGAACCACTATTATTTGGTTATTATACATTCTATCTAACAATATTTTCTGTAGTTTGTATAATTAAAACATTCCAAATATCAAATGCTCAAAACAGAAACTCACTCCTAGATTCTAATACTGTCTAGCCCATCAGTACCCCCAAACCCCAGATTCCAGGTTAATAATCACTGTGCTAAGTGATGAAAAGAACAGAAGAATAAGGCAGGATTCAATACAAAGTAAATTTCCTTTCAAAATGCAAACTTTGTTACTAGTATCTTGGCACAAGTTTCCATCAGGAAAGAGGGCAGCAAGTTCTAGCAATCAGAGCCAAGTAAACCTGCTGCTACATGAAATATGACACGTAAGAGAGAAGATATCACATGACCAGTCATGTTAGACTTGTCACTAGTATCAGTAGTGTAAAAGACCATCGGATGATGAGAATCAAAACATAGAGCTATGAAAAACAAACAGATGTGAAGTTTTACCTGTAAGAAATTCTCCTATAGGGTTATAGAGCTAGCTTCTCTTATTCACAAAGAAAAAAAATTAAATACTTAGTGTCTTACACCAGAATATTTCACTGACACATCAAAAAGTAACTATAATCAAACCAGCACATATGGAAAAGGCCTAACTATAGCACGCTTGATCTGGGCAGATCTCTTTGTTTACTGCTTGTCGGTGGAACCACTGAAAAAGATTAGACAGTTGTGTTGTGTTGTGTTGTTTCCCAGCTCTGGTTTCTCCTGAGACTTCAGTACATGGGTTCCTTTTTTAATGTGAAAAGACCAGCAGAATAGATATAAACACAGATCAAAGGCAATTGGCTGGAGGAGACCAGAACATTTCAAAAAAGTAAAATTAATGTTTTCAAACTTTAAGTAGTAAAATTAATTAAGGAAACAAGGGCCTTAGCTAAAGACCTTTCTAAAGTAATGATCCTCTTGAGTAGATTTGCTACATTACCTTTTGGCATCTTCCCCCTAATAAGAATCCCTGGAGAAAACTACCTCTTATTTCCATCAATTGTTTATTCACAACTCTCTTAATTTGTAATCACGAATTCTCTTTCCTGAACACTACACTAAACAAAAAAGAGTCCAAATCCTCAACTAAAACCCAAACTAAAAGCACCACAGAAAGTCTAGTGTGCTCATTTTCCTTTGAAAAAATAACTGAGGCATGACCATGTGTAAAAAATCTGAGAAAAATAAGAAGCTACCTGAAGGACAATCCTTTCGGATTTTTGCTTGCTTACCCATACGTCTACACAGGCTATTAGAAAGCCAAAATGATGCTATACTACTGTTAAGTGGGAAACAGTCACAGTGGTTTCAGCCAGCCACTTAGTTTGGATTTCCTACATTTTCAAACATCATCAAAATTTATATATTGTACAAACCTAATATTAAGAACTCCCATTGAAGCATTAAAAAATGCTCATTAATTCCAAGATAAGAATAAATGTATAAAACAAGAGGATTTGAACAATACTTACCTGCTCTCCCGGAGTGTCTGGATATATTTATATTTATCAGGTAATGTACCGTTGGATGTAATCACTGCCTAAATGTATATGACACAAGACATTTCTTTAGTATCCACAGTTTAGTCCTACAAACATGGTCTCATGACTGATAGAGAAGAGACAGAATGGCAAAGATGGAGAGAGGGAGAGAGAGAGAAGAGAGCAAAACTGGTAATAGAAAAAACACATTTATGAAAAAATATTCTTCTCATAACTTACATCTCTCACCACAGGAGAAAAATTCTGACTTTCAAGAGGCTGTGTCGCATCTGATAATATCTGAAAGGAAAATGAGATTTGTAAGAGATAAATGACACTGCAAAGAAGGCCTCTTGGTGTTTGTATCCATATTAAAATATTAATCAAGGGAAAAAAAGAATTTAAGAAACAGTTTTCTGAGGATCACCGAGTATAAGGGATTGCTAATAGAAGTCTTCTACAAGCAATCAACTCTACGCACAAGACTATGGTGTTTCAGCACAAGTCCCAATTTTAAAACTAAAATTGGATTATAATCATCTTTGCTTGCTGTGAACACAAAAAAGCTTATCTTTTCCAACCAGTTAAATGTATCGTATTAAGCACGTTGCCAAATATCTTCACAAGCTTTATAGCTATAGTCCCCTCTTCAAGGGCCTCTACTCCATTCCAAAAGTTCAAGTTGTTCTATTAGGAGTAGAGAATGAGGTTTTCCACTCAGCAAGGCCACCACCTCAGCAGTAAGGGGTCTCCCTCAGATCAGTATCAGTAGTTATATGTATAGATACATCAGCATTTCAAAGGTGGTAGCAAAAGTGACTTGACCGAGTAGAACCTTGAAAGTCATGCACATCCTCTTCACATTATCTTGCAGAATTGAGTCAGAGACAACAAAAAAAGTAAGATGTCTCATATTAACATTTCAGCAACCTTCTAGTCCTCCTCTTTTCTCCCAAGGAACCCAACTCTTGAATATGGTGCCAAGAAGCAATGGGTATATAAGTCAGTCCCTCTCAGAGAACCCAATTCTTGAACATACTGCCAAGAAGTAATGTCATATAAGTTAGCATTGCTGCTTCTGGTGGATAGAGAAGGGCCAATGAGACAGTCTTTCCTCCCTAACTAGGGGTTAAGATCTAGCTCACTCACCCAACTAAAAACAAGAAAAATGTACCTAGAAGGTGCTGGTAACAGAGAATTTATTTAGTGTATTAAAATAAATAGAAAATTGTTTTCATGTATCTAAAATAAATGGTAATTTGAAAAACGTCAGTTGTCCAAAGGACTGAAACCTAGATTTAAATTACTTCATCCTAACTGAATTTAGGTGAATTTCTCCTAACCTTTATCCTTGTCTATCCCACTGCCCAAAACAAAGAATATATTATCTGGAGGAAAATCACACAATATCTGGAGCCTCGAGTCATCTCTAAAGTTTTGAATACACAATGTCTAGCATTCAACCAAAAATAAATAAATATATTGAAAGGTAAGAATTTACTGAAAACCATAAAAACCAAGGGAAAAAACAGGGAACATAAATAGAACCAAGAAGTGTAATGGAATTAACAAAAATGACTCTAAATTGTGATTAATATATTCAAAAAAATAAAAGTACAATATAGATAACTTTTTTAAAAGATGTAAAACTTTAAAATTAATGAATATAAATTTTTGATAAATGAAAAATAACATGTTTCAAGCCTTGGAAGACAGATGAACCTCCAGATACATGAAGAAGCTCAACAATCTCCAGAGTCAACCCAAAGAGGTCCCTTTATAATTACTGTCAAAAACCAAAGAAGAATGATATTAAAAGCAGCAAGATAAAAATATCATGCTACATATAAGGGAATCTCTATTAAACTATCAGCAGATTTCTCAGTAGAAATCCTGCAGGCCAGGAGAGAATGGAATGATATATTCAAAGTGCTGATGCACAGAAAACTGCCAGCCAAAAATGCTATACACAGCAAAGCTGTCCTTCAGAAAAAAAGAAGAAATAAAGCCTTTCCCAGACAAGCAAAACTTTAGGGAATTCTTCACCACTAGAACTGCTCTATAAGAAATGCTTAAGGGAGTTTTTCAAGTAGAAAAAAATAACATTACTAACATGCAAACATATAAAAGTACAAAATTCACTGGTAAAGATAGATATACAATCAAATCCAGAATACCCCAATACTACTATGGCACTCTGCAAAAGATAGGTATTTATAACTCTAAGATGAAAGTTAAAATTCACAACAGTCAAAATAATGATAGCTACAATAAAGTATCAAGAAATACGTAAGCTAAAAAGATGTAAATTGTGACATCAAAAAATATTAACTGGTTGCACCCAACTCAGAAAGGTAAAAAAGAAATATATATAGTATGTATGTATACTATATATATACACACACACAAATATATATAGTGTGTGTGTGTGTGTATATGTGTGTATATATAGTATACATACATATATATATGTGGCTGAAAGGATTAAAAAAAACAAAGCTCCACTAGTCACAATAGCAAAGATATGGAATCAATCTTGATACCTATCAGTGGTGAATTGGATAAAGAAAATGTGGTATATATACACCATAGAATACTATGCAGCCATAAAAACGAATGAAATTGGCCAGGCACAGGGGCTCACACCTGTTATCCCAGCACTTTGAGAGGCCAAGGTGGGCAGATCACCTGAGGTCAGAATTTCAAAACTAGCCTGGCCAACATGGTGAAACGCTGTGTCTATTAAAAATACAAACATTAGCCAGGCTTGGTCGTGGGCACCTGTAATTCCACCTACTGGGGAAGCTGAGGCAGAAGAATTGCTTGAACCCAGGAGGTGGAGGTTTGTGAGATGAGATGGTGCCACTACACAAGCCTGGGTGACAGAGCAAGACTGCCTCAAAAACAAACAAACAAACAATGAAACTATGACCTTTGCAACAATCTGGAATCAGTTGAAGGCCATTATCCTAAGCAAATTAATGTAGGAACAGAAAACCAAATGCCACATGTTCTCAGTTATAAGTGGGAGCTAAACGCTGAGTATACGTGGACACAAAGAAGGGAACAATAGAAACCAGGGTATACTTGAGGGTAGAGGATGGAAGGAGGGTGAAAATTGAAAAACTACCTATCAGGTACTACGCTCACTACTTGAGTGATGAATTCATTTGTGCTCCAAACCCCAGTGACATGCAATTTACCCATGTAATAAAACTGCACATGTACCCCCTGAAGCTAAAATAAAAGTTGCAAGGAGAAAAAGAAAAATAGACTCTCACTATATGCTGCCCACAAGAGACATACTTTCACCTTAAGAATGCACATAGGCTTTCATCCCTCAAAGGGGATGAAAGAAGATATTCCATGCAAATAATAGCCAACAGAGGACAGGGACAATACTTATTCCAGACAGAAAAAACTTAACTCAAAAATTTTCACAAGAGACAAAGAAAGTCATTATTAAGGAGCTCAAGTCATTAAGAAGACATAGCAATTGTAAATATATGTTCTCTCAATATTGGAACACCTAAACATATAAAGCAAATATTAATTAATCAACATGAAGGTAAAAAATAAATACCAAAGCAATAATAGTAGGAGACTTCAATACCCCTCCTTCAAAAATGGAAAGACTAACCACGAAGAAATTAATTAGAAAATACTGGAATTGATCTGTGCTTTAGACAAAATGAACCTAATAGATAAATATAGAACGTTTTATCCAGTAGCACCAGTGTACGCATTCTTCTCTAGTACATATAGATCATTCTCCAGAATAGATCATATGGTAGGCCACAAAATACGTCTTAACAAATTTTAAAAAAACTGAAATCATATCAAGTATTGTTTCTGATCACAATGGTATGACGCTAGAAATCAATAACAAGAGAGACTTTGGAAACTACAAACACATGCAAATTAAACAACATATTCCTCATCAATCTAGGAGTCAATAGAGAAATTAAAAAGGAAATTTAAAAATTTCTAGAGACAAATGAAAATGAAAACACAATCTACCAAAAGCTATGCGATAGAGCAAAAGCAGTACTCAGAAGGAAGTTTATAGCAATGTTGAAATGCCTATTTCAAAAAAGAACAAAGATCTCAGATAAACGAATGTTGCACCTCAAGAAACAAGAAAAACAGGAACAAACTGAAACCAAAATTAGTAGACACAAAGAAATAGCGATGGTTAGAGAAGACATAAACAAAATAGAGATGTAAAAAATACAAAAGATCAATGAAACAGTTTGTTTGAAAAGGTAAACAAAATCAACAAGCCCCAAGTCTGCCTAAGGAGAAAAGAGAAAAGACTCTAATAAATAAAATTTCAGATGACTGTTGTTGGTGTATTGGAATGCTAGTGATTTTTGTACGTTGATTTTGTATCCTGAAACTTTGCTGAAATTGCTTATCAGCTTAATTTTTGGGCTAAGACTATGGGTTGTCTACGTATAGAATCATGTCATCTGCAAAAAGGGATAATTTGACTTCCTCTCTTCCTATTTGAATGCTCTTTATTTCTTTCTCTTACATGATTGCTCTGGCCAGGACTTCCAATACTATGCTGGATACAAGTGGTGAGAGAGGGCATCCTTGTTGCCAGTTTTCAAGGGTAATCAATGTCATTAAAATGGCCATAGTGCCCAAAGCAATTTACAGATTCAATACTATTCTTATCAAATTACCCATGACATTCTTCATAGAACTAGAAAGAAACTATTTTAAAATTCACATGGAACCAAAAAGAAGCTGAATAGCCAAGGCAATCCTAAGCAAAATGAACAGAGCTGGAGGTATCATGCTACCTGACTTCAAAGTATATTACAGGGCTACAGTAACCAAAACAGCATAAGACTGGTACAAAACCAGAAACAACGACCAATAAAACAGAATAGAGAGCTCAAAAATAAGGCCACACATCTACAACCATCTGATCTTCAACAAAGCTGACAAAAACAAACAATGAGGAAAGGACTCCCTGTTTAATAAATGGTGCTGGGATAACTGGCTAGCTATACAGAAGATTAAAACTGGATCGCTTCCTTACACTATATAAAATGGTATAAATAAACTCAAAGTGGATTAAAGAATGAAATGTAAAACTCAAAATTAAAAACCCTGGAAGATGATCTAGGCAAAACCATTCTGGACATGGGAACTGGCAAAGATTTCATGATGAAGAACCAAAAACAATTGCAACAAATGGGATCTAATTAAAGAAAAGAGTTTCTGCACAGCAAAAGAAACTATCAACAGATTAAACAATCTACAGGACGGGAGAAAATATTTGCAAA